GTAAAAGGTACCAACTTTCACTTTACAAGCAGGGTAAGAGAGTTCCTATTACTATATGTTCTCATCAACACTTGTGATGGATACGCAGTGATTTTGAGATTTGGCATTTCCCTGATTATTAATTAGCTTAAACACTTTTTCAAATGTTTATTGGTCCTTGTTTTTCAGTTATCTTCCCCATTTTTCTATTGTGTGGTCTGCTTTTTTCTTATAAATTTGTAGGAGTTTCTATATAATCGTGTAATAATTTTTTATAGATTATATTGGTTGCAAACATCCTGTAACCAATTATATTGGTTACTTCCATCCTGTGGCTTGCTTTTCCACCTCTTAATGGGGCCTTCTGATGAACATATGTTTTTAATTTTCATATAATCTTTTCACTTATTATGAAATTTTTTGGTTCTATTAATCTTTGCATACCACAAGGTCATGAAAATATTCCCCTGTATTATCTTCTGAAATCTTTATGCAGTTTTACCTTTCACATCTACAAACTAATTTCATCTGGAAATGGTTTTCGTTTATGGTGTAGGTAAAGTTAAGTTTCTTTTTTATTATTTGGAAATACAATTGTCCTAGAACCATTGTTTAAACAAACTTCCCCTTCCTCTGTCATAAATCAGGTGTGCACCACTTTTGTCATAAATCAAGTCTCCAGGTAGGCCTGGGTTGGTAAATGGTTTTTCTGAATGGTTCCAATGGTCTATTTGTCCATCCTTTTGCCAATATTATACTATCTTAAATTACTTTAGCTTTATTGTAAGTCTTGAAACACTGTAGTTACTAAATCCTATGATGTTATACTGCTCTATTTCAAGATTGTCTTATTTATTCTTGGTCCTTTGCTTTTCTATATAGTGACAGAACAAACTTTGGTCAAATTCTTCTCCCCACCAAAAATAAAAAATAAAAATTGGTTGAGATTTATAGTAGAATTACATTGAATTTACAGATGTATGAAATTATTTGAGAAAAACTGACATATCGATAATATTGAATGCAATGATGACTAAGACATACTTTTCCATTTTTCACATTTTCCTGCATAAAGGTCACACACATTTCTTGCTAGATTTATTCCTAAGTATTAGATATTCTTTCATACTTTTGAAAAAATATTTAAAATTTTATATCTCAGATATTTGTTGTTGATAAAGAAAAGTACAATTGATTTTCTTATATTGACTTTGATTTATATGATTTCATCAAAATTGTTAAATTCACTTTATAATTTATCATAGATTTATTTACATTTGTATGAATACAATCATATCCATTTACTGAGTTTAGTTCTTTCTTTCAAACCTAATGCCTTTTCTTTTTCCTAATATATCCATTTAAATCTATAAATATCCCTATATTACTGATTTAGTCATATTCTACAAGTTTTATTTCTAATATTTTTGTTATCGCTCAGTTCAAAATATTTTTTTATGTCCATTATAATCTCTTATTTGATTCGTGGGTTATTTAAAAGTCTATTTTTTCGGCTGGGTGCGGTGGCTCATGCCTGTAATCCCAGCACTTTGGGAGGCGGAGATGGGTGGATCATGAGGTCAGGAGATCGAGACCATCCTGGCTAACACGGTGAAACCCCGTCTCTACTAAAAATCCAAAAAATTAGCCGGGCATTGTGATGGGCACCTGCAGTCCCAGCTACTCGGGAGGCCGAGGCAGGAGAATGGCGTGAACCTGGGAGGCGGAGCTTGTAGTGAGCCAAGATCGCACCACTGCACTGCAGCCTGGGCGACAGAGTAAGACTCTGTCTCAAAAAAAAAAAAAAAAAAAAGTATATTTTTTGACTTTCCAAAGCATAGATTTGCTGTTTATATTTTTCTGTTGTTTTCCAGCTTAAAGGCATTTGGTCGGAAAAAGTCCTCTGTATAATTTCAATCATCTGAAATTCTGTGAATTTTTTTTTTTAATTCCACTATATGGTTTATTTGGCAAAATTTCCCATTGTGCCTGGTGTACTGAATTCTGAAGTTAATACATTTACTTCTATATATGACAGTTAAGTCTGTTAATTTTATTGTTAAAATTTTTATATCTTTACTGAGTTTTTTTCTGAGAAATGATTATTAAATCTTCCTCTATGGTTGTAAATTTATTTCCTTTTTGTTTCTGTCAACGTTTGCTTTGCAAACCTTCTCATGCATTGTTACTCCTAGGAATCTAGAGTGTTGACAACAGCCATCACCTTTGGCAGGCCCTGAACTCCTATTTTATCCCTTAGGCCCACACAACTGTCAAAAGCACTGCTCAGCACTAACAAATACTCACTAACAGGTACTGGGTTAGCAAGTACTTTCAAGCAAATGTGATATTTTGTACAGCATTTCTAGTTATCATCAGAGGCAGGATTTATCCAAATATTTAATGTTGTATTACCAAAAGCAGAAGTGCTAACTTGGTGGTTTTTAAAAATTTTTTTTTAGCTATGGAACCCTTTGTGAAATAAGCTTATAAGAAAGCTCAGTACATGAAAGGTAGAAACCCAGAAATGTCTCTTGGGTATGCACACTATTATTTTTTTCTGAGATTGCAAAGTTGAAGGCCACTCTCTTCCATGTAATAGATGCCACATACTCTTTAAATCCTCTTAAGAAATATCCTGTAGATCTTTGGTAAAGATAAACGTGGTCCCTAAACCTGTCTGCTGTTAGCTCTATTTCCTATCTGTTTTAATTTTATAAATAAATTAACCAAAGATGAATCTCCTCATAAATTATTTAGGTATACTTCATAAGTTATTTATATTAGGTACATTTACATTTATTTATAAACATTATAAACATAAATTCATGTTTATATTACCAAGTACACTTCATAAATAAAATGTGTCAATCTATTAATAGATATTAAATGACTTCTACATTTAAGTAAAATGCTAAAGAGTCCGTTTCTTACCTATGAGGAAAATAAATATGGCCACTTTTTACATGTTGTTAAATTAATGTGACACTGACTTCGGTTTTAATAGCTAGACATTAGGGAGAAATGTTTACTTCTCTTCACTCCTTGTGTTCCAATGTAGAAGAATTTCCACTACTGTGAACTTCCTGGTCTCTTACCAGAACCAAATTACCTGATTTGTGGATTTAAAAGAAGGAAACAGGAATGCTTGGCTCAGCCTCTTTGTCTTTCTGGCTCTGCCTTTCTGCAGAAAGGATGCATCCTTTCTTGCTCTCCTGCCAATGCTAAAAGAACTAGACTTTATGGGCTAGTGACAGTGGAAGGTTTGTGTTGATTCTGCTCTGCCTTTGACTGGGTGGATAAGTTGAATTCCAAAATTCAGTATTAGAAAACTCACTTGGCTCACATCTACACCATGTGCCCTAATGTAACTTTTATTAGCAATAGTGCTATAGAGTAACAAAGCAACAGATGATGACCGTATGTCTGACTCTGGTATTTTTCTATCATATGGTTCTGAGCTTGGATAGGAATGAAAATGTATTTACTGACATCTCAAAATGAATATAATCACAATAGTGGGTCATTCTGACCATTTATCAGAAGTCCAGAAGTTAAGATTCCATGGTCAGAAATAATCTCTTTTGACCACCAGCAGGAGAAGAAAATAAAAAAGTCTGAAGCACCTGTAAAGCATACCTTTTTCCTCCAATGTAACCAAGAAGACTCATCCTACTTTGTGTACCCACAAAAGCTACAAGGTCCATCAACAGAAATTAGTTTATGAAATCTAGGATTGTGGGAATTACATTAAAGAGTCTCAGTGAATTCCTTCTTAGACTGAAATTTAAGATTTTCCTGACCATGCTCCCAGAGTATCACCCCTTAACAAGAAGGCTCTTCATTTATATGGTATGATGTCCAAAAAATGGTTATCATTCTTTTAAATCATATAAAAGTATTAATGAAAGTATTAAAAGTTTTATTTCAATAGCTTGCTTCAGTCAAACCATTAAAACTGTAGAATATAACTTTGATATTTAAATTTTTTAAATATTAATGGTTACCTTTACCACTGCTATTATTGTGATCAACCAGCTTCTATTTATAGAAGAGTTAAAAGAGGTTAAATGTCCTGCAACACTACAATGACAGAATCCAAGACAAACAAAAATGTAAAATATTTCTCTTAATACTTTCTATTAAAAATATTCTGAGCCACTCTGCTGATACAGGAAACATTTGTAATAAAGTTATTTTTATTATATTCCCTGAGATTTTTTAAATAGATCAATTTCTAGGTGTTTTCAAGAAAAGAAAATCCAAGCTATAGGGGTTCCATTTTCCTCATTGTTTATTCAACTATTCACTGACTTTTTGACTATCACTTAGTTTTTCAAAGTCATGGCTTAATTTCTTCTATCCTGCATAGTACTACAACTTACAAATACTAAAACTAAAGTTATATATTCATCTTTATTTCTAATGAGAACTACAGTTGTCTTGAGAAATGCTAAAAGGTACTTTCTTTACTCTGTGTGTTTTTACAGCTTAAAAACAATACTGCTTTTCATGCTTTTTGGACAACTATTTTAACTGAATGTTTATGAAACTCATTTTTCAAATAGAACTTGACAAAACTTTACCTGCTACATATTTGGTAATGAAGGGAACAGCAGAGGCAAATTGAACAATAAAAATGAAACCAAAGGTATCTTCCCAACTGTAGTAGGCTCAAGGATAAATGTTGAAATCTCTCTATTAGAGAACAAAAGTTAAACATATTACCACATTTTTGGATGCTCTTGCTCTGGACTTTTGAAAGTGAAGGTATATAAGTCAAATAACTTCATTTCCAAGTATGTTTTATCACCTTTAGGTTCGTGATTGCTGTCCTTGTTCAGTCCCTTAAAGGTAAATACTGTACTAATTAAAAATATTTTGCAGATAATAGCATGTATGAACTTCAGTCTTTAGCTTTTTCTCTAGTCACGTAAAGAAAAAAACACTGTTAATTTCAAACTCTGATTTAGCATTACTTTATATAAAACTCTCAAGGGTTAGAGAATGTGAACAAGTACCTGGAATTACCCCAGTCAGGACCAATGCCTGAAAGCGATCCTCTTTTGTCAGCTGCATATTTGTAAACCACTAGCAGGCACTGTTTACAAAGCTCCACCAGGCGCTGGCAACACTGGAGCTGCAAAGGAGTCACCACCTCTGGGCTTTTATTGAAAATACTCTCCCAAGAGGATCTGTTGGCATGGAAACAGACATGATCTCATGTTGGCTGTTAAAAATGACAACCAGCTATATCACTTCCCTAGCAACAAGCCAATAAGGGCAATAGAAATGGCCTCATACATTTGCAATAACTATGAATGGTTTAAAGATATATAATAAAAACAAATTAGGAAACTTATTTTTGTATTAAAGAAACACAACATCAAATACATATACTATTTGTATGTGTGTGTTTGTACGTGTGGGGGTGTGTGTGTGACAGTGTGTCTCACTATGTTGCCCAGACTGGAGTACAGTAGTTATTCACAGGCACAATCATGATGCACTACAGCCTTGAACTCCTGGCCTCCAGTGATCCTCCTCATTTTAGCCTTGAAGTAGCTGGGACTACAGGCATGTGCCACCATGCCCAGCACTATTTGTCCTTAAAGCTTTTAAAGCTGCCAACTCTGGACGGCTAATAGGATAGTTTTCCAACACCTCTTAAAAAATGGAGTTACTCTATATTAAGGTATTTGTAAAATACTGAGCTAATTTCTCAAAAATTAAGTATTCTTGGAATTTAGGCTTTCTTGGAATCTGTATTTACCTTAACATTAAGAATGATCCCTTGAAATGATTAAAAAGTTGCTAAAACAATTGTTAACCTCTCTTCACTAAGAGAATTTAGGTTAATACTTGATTGTGACCATCCCTTTCAAAACACTTTTAGACATAACTATATCCATATTCCTAGAGCACAGGTTCTGTGTGCTAGAAGTAATGCTATCTTAACAAGTACTGCCCTACTGCCATCCCAGAAGCAGCATGCCTTCTCCTTCACTGAACTCAGCTTATTCCAAAGCAGGTAATGGTGCGTACTTTCTTGGTAAACTTCAGTTTTGTGTGGGGTGGGTGGGTGGGTGGGGGTGTGTGTGTGTGTGTTAACAATTCCGAAGTTTACCATCATGGTATCATGGTTTATATCAGGAAATACCTCACTACTCCACCACTACGGAGAGAGAGACAGACGAGAGAGAGAGACAGAGAGAGAGAGAGAGAGAGAGAGAGAGAGAGAGAGAAATTTATTCCACAGACTTATTCCTTGAAACTCTTCAAGCCTCCAGGGGAAATTTTGGTTTGAGACTTGGTAATGATTCATATCTCATTTTACATAAACCAATTCACATAACCCTCAGAGAGAGAAGCACAGACTTTCAGAAAGGAAAAAGTATTCAGGACAATATTTTCCTGAAGTAAACTTCCCAATGGGAAACACAAAGACTCCACTTTCAACCTTCTGTGGATATTTGATATATCTGGAATTTTTTAAAAAATGCCTTAGAAACAGAAATGTATTTTTTACTAGAAAAGCTACTGTTTATTTTTTCAGAGAAATGTGGCCCCAAATAGCATGTCATCAATGAATGAAAGGTTTTCTTAAAGGGAGTAATACTGAAATGAATTAATTGAAAGAAACAAATTTTCTTCAGTGTTCTGAAATGTTCAGGGCTAAATATAATAGGCTTTTAAAATACTGGGGTTTTTTAATTGGCAAAGGAATGAAAGTTATTTTTATTTAAGAAATAGTAATTTGATGGTTAAATTAACTGTAAAAACAAAATTTAAATTATTGCTAGATGGAAGAAAAACTAGATATGACACATGTGTTTATCAAGATTTATATATGTAGATAGAGACATAAAATCTACTTACCTAATTTGATTAAAAAATGCTGGAAAAATAAATTAATTAGGGAACATGTTTATAATCAGTATACTTTGATTTAGCAGACCCTATAAAATTTCATATAAATGTGAATACATACAAAAAAATCCTATGTTTTTAATGTCTGCCTAGCACTTTTCTTTCTGCTGGGATTTTGGGTATGTCTATAAAAGTCTACCTCCATCACCACCCTCTACTCTCAACTTGGATATATTTATTTATTGATACTGTGGAGCTATTTGATCAGATCAACTATCAGGTCACTCATGGTAATTTTTCTTTAGAGGTAGGGAAAGAACAAATTAAATGGAAGAAAGCTGAAAGGGCTTCTTCTGTAACACTCTAATCTGATGTTAACTTCTTGAATAATACGTAAATTATAATATGACCAGCTTTGGCTTCTCATTCTCTCATTCTCCCTTAAATATTTAAAATAAATACATGAATCAAGGTCCTATACATATTGATTTCCAGTGTATATATTTACCACTACTAGCCAAGACTACATTCTACTCTATGTATTAATCCATATTTAGGTGTCAGCATACCAAAATACTCAAGAAAATGAAAGCAACCTGCTTCATTTGGCCCTAGGGCAGTGGTGCCCCCTCTACACAAAGGAAACCTGAGTATAGAACTGTATCCCCTATTCTTACCTGCCACCTGGCATAGCTGAGTAGATGTGAAATGTCTCTATACTACTACAGTATTTCAGCTTTCAACACTAGCAACACAGTTTTTTAAAAAGGTGAAAGGAGGTAAAAATAGTTAAAATACCGGTACTTTAATCAAAGAACCCCAGGTCTCTTCTACCTGCTTTTTGAATCTAAATTCCAAGGAAACAGGGTCATCAAAATCCATGAATTCAAAAAGAAAAATTAAATGATTAAAAAGTTCTTTCTGGCTCTCCCTAATCCTCACAGCAATATAAAAGGAAATCACTTTAAATGACTTTTTTAGTAATATAACAGTAAGATATAGAATACTGAATATTTCTGGCAACAAAGGAAAGTTATTCATGCAATCCAGAGACTTAGAAATCCTCACATTATTCAGTAATCCAATAATTTTCACCCACTTTCTCATCAAAACATTTCATAAAGCAGTTATCTAAAGAGTGAAACTGATTCATTCCTTTCTCCACTGGTACAAGCCCTGACTGAGTAGCCCAAAGTTAAGTGGCAGAAAGGAGAAAGGAAAAGTTGTGGTGGGTGTCCCTAGAATTGGCCCAGGGGTTTTACTGATGCATCAAACAGAAAACATCCTTGTCCCCCTCTTTTCCTCTTCCAGGCTGCTGAAGTTTATACATACCAATACAGTAATCACCAACAGAAAGATTAATAACCTAAAAAGTATAACAACAACACATCCAGTTGAACATGATACAAGAACAGGGAGATTCACATCTTTTTAAGTAGTCTATATATTATGCATAACTTTTCGAGTAGGCATAATCCAGCCTAGAAATAGACTACTGCCTTAGAATATTCCCTAAAGTTTCTTCTTGCCCTAAGATTCTAAAAGAAAGGCTTTTACATGGCAAACCCCCACAGGAAAATACTTTTGACTAGGGAATCCAAGCCAGATTCTCTTCTTTGGGGTTTACATATTAGGATTTTGAGTGGAGATGGGGCTTTCCCAAACCATGCATTCCTTTTCCCATATTACCCTGGCTCCTCTCTTGGCTTTACCCCCACAGACTCCTACTCTTCCTGTAACTCTCACCTGAAATGCCACTTCCCATAGCCACCATTCCCCAGCTCTCAGGCCTAAGTTTGAGTCCCATGGAACCTCAGACTTCCTCTATCCCAGTAAAACATGGTAGATAATTTTATTTATGGAAATTCCAAGAGCTATTTCCCTAAAGTAAACATATTCCAAAGTGGGCATCATAACACTCCCAGGAGGCTGCATGTGATCAAAGGGTTACTGGGCATGGGCATCAGCAGCCTGGTAGAGGAAGAGAGGAAGAAGGGTGTTTTCCGTTTGATACATCAGTAAAACCCCTTGGCCAACTCTAGGGAAACCTACCACAAAGATCTACATTACTCTGGTGTTTCTGGAGGTAGACAGGGATGGTTTACTTACTTTGTTTTATTGTTGGGGATGTTGATAGGCAAAGGCAACAATCAAGGCCTTGGATTCTTGGACATAATCAAAGACTTGGATTATATTTTTCTAAGATTTTACACCTAACTGCGAAAGAAAGTTGAACTTTATATTAAAATCATTCCTTAAAAACTGAGAAGAGTAGATTTTCACCATGACTGTTAGGCCTTCAGACCAAAGGTTAAAGGAGTATACACTGAGAAGGCATGATTCAAAGGATAAAGAAGAACTACTCTGGGTCCAAACTGAGAATCAAACACACACAGTACTATGTGACTTCACTAAATTGAGGAAGCCTAAAAAACTCATTAATGCAAAATAAAATCCGATATTAAACTCAACTCTTTAAACTACTAAATTGAAAGAAGTAGATGAGAGTGGAGTCAAATTGGTCTCAAAACTACTCCAGCCTCACCTGCACAGGCATAGTAGGCTAGGGATTTGGCTAATGCTATGGACTTGCAGTAAAACAAGCTTGGCAACCATTGGCAAATCTGCTTTGGGGAATGTCAATGAAGCATCGAGTTAAGAGTTTGGGCTTTTGACTCAAGACTACCTGGATTTAAATACAGGTTCATACAGTTGCTATGTTTATACTTCAATTCCTCATCTGTAAATGACGGTAATAGTTTACTCAAAATACTTTTTGTGGAGATTATACAAATATTTAATATGTAAAACAATGTCAGATATTTAGTAAGCCGTCAATAAATACTACTTACTATCCCTATGATTACTACTACTAATAGACACCACCAGAGAAACTGGAAGGCAGTACTGTGCCAAGGATAGGAGAAAAGGATTCTGAATCAAGTTAAAGTATGTTAGCAAAATAGTTCAGGAAAGAGGAGCCCTAGAAGCAAAGAAGCACCATTTCATGGGTATCTTTAGAGTCTGGTGTTGGAGATTATCTATGGACTCAGAGCCACAGCACTGATTTCACTAACAGATTTTCTCATTGCTCTCCATGGTAGAGAGTAGCTGGGATTCATACATGGCATCAAGCCAATGGATCAACCAACAGAAAAAAAACATTTCCATTTTAAGTTCAGATTGGGAGAACTTTTACAGAGAGCCATCAACTAAGGGGCTGTGGAGTTCAAATGTTTCATTTAAGTCTTTGTAGAAATAATAGCCCGGATTATTCTCAGATTTCATCACACCCAGAGTGCCTTATTAATTCTCCCTGTTGGTGAATGGTAGCTAAGAAAAAAAATGGTAGAAAGACTGAGTCTCCAAATGATATGAATGATTCTGTATCACATGACTAGAATATTTAAATGGAGAATATTCTGAGATCATTTCAGAATAGAACAGTCTGTTAAGGTTTTACAGAAGAGGCAGGTATAGAATGGGGCTTTACATTCGATTCAAATAATACAGAAGGTACCAGAAGGTTGGGGTTATAGAAAGCCATCCAATCAGATATTAAATGACATCAACAGTTCAGAGGAAGAAAAAGACAAATTTTTAAGAAATCTGAAAAAAATGAATTTGTTTTTTCTGGAGCAGAATTCAAGTAGGAGAGTAATGAGAAGGAAGACTGGGGAAATAAGAGAAAACAGCATATTAGATGGCCTTGTATCTGTAGATAAGAAGTTTAAACTTAAATGATAAAGGAGGAAAATCACTACAGATTTTAGGATATGATTCTGACAGTAAGATGGATATGAGAAACAAAAAACTGGAAACAAAAATGCCTAGAAATCTATTCATTTCACTTAGCTGTCTTACCAAAAACAGGCTCATTTTGTCTAAAATCTTGTCATACTTTATCTGTATCTCTTTTATAATGATGATTTAGTCCATTCTCACACTGCTAAAAAAGACATACCCAAGACTCAGTAATTTACAAAGGAAAGAGGTTTAATTGACTCATAGTTCAGCATGGCTGGGGAAGCCTCAAGAAACTTACAATCATGGCAGAAGGGGAAGCAAACATGTCCTTCTTCACATGGTGGCAACAAGGAGAAGTGCCAAGTAAAAGGGGGAAAAGCCCCTTATAAAATCATCAGATCCATGAGAATTCACTCACTATCAAGAGAACAACAGCATGGGGGTAACCACCCCATGATTCAGTTACCTCCCACCAGGTCCCTCCCATGACACGTGGGGATTATGGGAACTACACTTCAAGCTGAGATTTGGGTGGGGACGCAGACAAACAATATCAAATGATTTGCTTTGTATGTATCATACTTTATCTGCTAGAGATATCAGAGTTTATAGGTTAAGAGCATGAACTCTGGGGTCAAGGCTAAATGAGTTCAAATCCCAGTTCCACTAGGTCCTTAGCACCTATCTGTGCCTCAGTTTCCTTATCTATAAAACAGAGATAATATAAAACCTGACTCAAATTGATGTTATGAGGATTAAATCACTTAACACATGTAAAGTGATCAGAACAATGCATCTCACACAATAAGTAGTATGGTTAGTTATTATCTGTGTCAGATTCAACACTGTATCTCCAAAAATATTAGCACAAAAGTAAGTACTTGATGATTGTTGAAAGAATGAATGGAAACAAGCTAGTTTAGCCATGTGGGAATGTGACAGAAAAACAATAGGATTTAGCAAATGATTAAATAAAGACAGTGAGGGAAAAGGAAGATGCAGGTGCCCCTGTGATATCCAACTTGTATGACTGAGAGAATAACAACAGGATTAAGGGAAGCCAAGAAAGGAAGCCATTTCGGAATAAAAGGACGTGGAATGTTTGGTTTTAGATATCTTGAGGCTAAAATGACAATGAGTCACAGCAGCTTTAGCAGCACTGGGATTCTGGGGAGGAGGAGAAGTCTGGCCATAATTTTAGAAGGTGACTGCAGAAGAACTTCAAGGATATTGCTTTGTATTTTCTTTAATTAGGACTACCTTCTCTCCACTGAATTCAAATTAATTAGGTGGTGTTGTGTTCATATTCATCATCTTATCTAAATCACCTTAATTGATATAAATTATAGTTGAGTACTAAACATTACATGCAGTAAAAAGAAATCCATATTTTAAAAGATCATTCAAGCATTTTATTAGGCTACCTCTATAACTAAATAGTAAAATATTAAAAATGATGATAATAAAAGATGACTGAGAACTTACCCTGAATCACAGAAACAGTTCCACAGCCCTTGGCCATGACTCCAGAGTAAGCGATTAAAAACCCGGTTGAAAATCCGATATAAATTTACTTCTTCGACATCAGGCACCTTCCAGATACGTGGAAGAACCGTACGAATGCTTGTTTTCACTATGTCCAAAACCTAGTGGAAAAACCAAAGTACTTATGATCTAGGAATGTATATCTGTGTCTAAAATTCAAAGATGTAGCTTGAGCCCAGGAGTTCCAGACCAGCCTGGGCAATATAGTGAGAACCTGTCTCTACAAAACTTTTTTAAAAATTAGTCTTGCATTATGACCCACATCTGCAGTCCCAGCTACCTGGGGGGGCTAAGATGGGAAGACTGCTTGAGCTCAAGTGGTCAAGGATGCAGTAAGCCATGATGAAAAGTAAAATAAAAATAAAATTCAAAGAGGAACACACACACACACACTGAACAATAGTATAGAACAAAAAGTCTAGAAATAGGCCCATGCATTTATGAAACTTCAGTATATGACAGAGGCAATAACTCAGATCAGTGGATAGAGATTTTGAAATTATAATCTTTATGGATTAGATGAAGAAAAGATAAAGCTGAATCCCTCATTAAAAAGAATCAACTCTAGAGGGGCTAAGGTCTTACATGTTAATAAAAATAAACTATTCTATATCTCAGTGGAAAGTATAGGAGAGTATTTATTGAACCATGGGCTAGAAAAATACTACTTAAGTCACAAAAAGATATGGACCATAAAAGATTAATAGATTTTGATCATATAAAAATTAAGAACTTCTGGTCATTAAATACACCTTAAAGAAAATAAAAGACAAACTTACAAACTGCAAAAATATATTCAAATAATATATGTCCAAAAAAAGATTAGTATCAGGAATATATAAAGAATGTTTACCAAAATTTTTAATAGAAAAAAAAGGACAAAACATTACAAACAGGCATTTCAGAAAAGAGGAAATAAATATGCCCAATAAACATAAAGAACAAAAATTAAAGTTATAATAAGATATCCACGTAGTTGACAAAAATTAAAAGTCTGATGATATCAAGTGCTAGAGAGGATATGGAATCTGCCGGGTCTCTTAGACATTGCTAGTGTGAGTACAGATCGGTGCACAAATTGGAAAACAGTCTGGCATTATCTCCTAAAGTTGAAAATTAATATCCCTATGGCTCAGCAGTTTTACTTCTGAAATAATCTCTCACAGGTAAAAATAGGAGGTGGCATGTACAAGAACGTTCATAGCAGCTGTTAACAATTGTAAACACCTAGAAACAATCAAACTCTTCAACAATAAGAGAGTGAATAAATGAACAGTGGATACTCACCCCCTCTGGACTATTACACAGTATTAATACAGTAGTCGAAATGAATCAAATATGACACACAAGACAGAACATCTTCATAATAAATGGTAAGGTAAAAAATGTACTAGAGGCCGGGCGCGGTGGCTCAAGCCTGTAATTCCAGCACTTTGGGAGGCCGAGACGGGTGGATCACGAGGTCTGGAGATCGAGACCATCCTGGCTAACACGGTGAAACCCCGTCTCTACTAAAAAAAATACAAAAAACTAGCCGGGCGAGGTGGCGGGTGCCTGTAGTCCCAGCTACTCGGGAGGCTGAGGCAGGAGAATGGCGAGAACCCGGGAGGCGGAGCTTGCAGTGAGCCGAGATCCGGCCACTGCACTCCAGCCTGGGCGACAGAGCGAGACTCCGTCTCAAAAAAAAAAAAAAAATGTACTAGAGACTAAATATATAGCATGATACCACCCCCTTTTTTTGAGGCAAGGTCTTGCTCTGTTACCCAGGTTGGATTTCAGGGGCACAATCTCAGCTCACTGTAGCCTCAACCTCTTAGGATCAAGCTATCCTCCCATCTCAGCCTCCTAAGAAGGTGGGACAACAGGCACACACCACCATGCCCGGCTAATTTTTGTAATTTTGTAGAGAAAGGGTTTCACCACATTGCCCAGGTTGGTCTTGAACTTCTAAGCTCAAGTGATCTGCCCACCAAGGTTGCCCAAAGTGCTGGGATTAAAGGTATGCGCCATCACCCCTGGCCATGATACCCTTGTAATAGAAGTAAAAACAATTAAGTTTTAAAAACACATGGGGAATACACATAAACATTTTTTATATATATGGTATATATACCATATATATATGGTATAAGGTATATATATATGAAAGAAAGAAAGAAAGCCAGAGAGAGCAAGAGAGAAAGAAGAGGAGCGGAGGGGAGGGGAAGGGAGGGGAGGGGAAGGGAGGGGAAGGGAGGGGAGGGGAAGGGAGGGGAGGGGAGGGGAGGGGAGGGGAGGGGAGGGGAGGGGAGGGGAGGGGAGGGAGGGAAGGGAAGAGAGTGAACACTGAGTTCAAGAATATAGCTACCGGGGAAATGGGGAGCCACGGGGATGGAAGGGAATCATTTGGTTATATACGTTATTTCCAAGAATCTAGCTTTTGATTTGGGTGTTGGGTTCACAGGTGGTATAGTAAACTTCAAAACACTAAATAACACTAAATAAAAGCAGGTCATGCACAAACCAATCATGAAAGAGTATCGTGAAATAAGGACTATGATTAATCTGGACCACTGAAATCCTAGAGGTCCTAAAAAATTTGTAAACCCCAAAAAACTCTTTTGTCTAATTCACATATACTTGATACTTATGCAATGTAGGTATTTCCAATAAAATTCTTTTGTAAAAAAACAAAACAAAACAAAGAAAAATAAAATATCAAATAATAATATTCTGATCTCCATTCATCAAAGTGGATTTTTCACTTTTTATCTAGCTATAATTATGGCAACTGCCTATAAAAATGAAAGTGAAAGATGAAAAGGGAAAAAGACTTTCAAACATAAAGACTAAATAAAGACATTTCTCTCAACAGACACAAACATGAAGAATTGGAAGCAGATGAAAGAATGATTTGTTTCTCTTTAAAACAGCAATATTTAAAGAAATGATGTTAGTTATCTCTGATCAAGGCAAATTTAGAATAAACATTTGTTTAAAAATAAATTTAGTAAAAAGTTTTCAAGGTGATATTTATAGAAGACTAGGAACTACAGCTTCTCACAGGGAAATGCGTGAGCAGCAGCATTCCTTCCCTTCCTGTTCCAGCTTCCTGCACTGTGATGGGGGCAGTAATACAAATCCTACTGTAGGTTAGGGTGTGTCCTAGGGGAAGGGGCAGAGGATGAGGAGGGAAAATGCAATCTGTAATAAAGTTGTGTGTGAAAAACTCATGGAAAGGCTCATTATTACAGGTAACAAATGCTTCATTATAAAGAGGAATATCTTAAAACCTTTCACAATAATACTGAAATGTGAGTATCAAGGCATTAATTCCTGCCTTTTAGTTTTTACAATTTTAATTTAAGCTATTAGTTTAACTCTTTATATTTTTTAGTGTAGAAAGCAGTGCGCTCATGACTATGTGATATAAGAATCAACACTAGCTGTAAATGAGAAATTTAAATCATCTTTCTTCTCAATTTTCCTTTCTACTTTCTGTCAATATATTAGTAAGTAATAATAGGCCAAAAGTCATAATGCAGAAAGGAAAGAATAAGAAAGTAGCCAAGATAACCCATATATTAGTCTCAAGGATAAATATGAGTTATATAAAATAACCGAAATTGAAAAGTGTTATTGATACTGACAATTTTAACATTACCTTAAGTTCATCAGTATTCACATTATATTATAAAATGATTATTCAACTTTAAAATGATAAAGGATTTGAGATCATGGAGTATTCATTCATTTCTTTTTAAATACACTTCAAGGGCAACTAACATGTATCATCTGCCTGCTCTATGCCAAACACTGTGCTAGGTACATTACTTAGATTATTTTGACCACTACTCTGCATATATTTTCTTCTTAATTTAGAGGGAATTTTAATAGCATGACAGTACCATATTCTAGCCCATACATGACTAAAAGCAGCAACTTCAGAATGGAACCAGGGAGTTAGGGATGGGGAATGCTTCTGCTCCATTCCTAATGTTTTCTTCAATATGGAGGTGGAAAAATCTGCAGGCATCATGGTACTCCATCAGGCACCCCTATCTAAGAAGCAATTTTCCAGATTGGTGAGACTGGCATGGTCTGGGCAAACTAGGCACATTCTCCTTCCTGTCCAGAGCAAACTACTGGGAATACACATTCCTCTTTGCTTCTCTTTGCTTTCAGTTTTCAAGGAGCCTCTCCAAGAAGGCAAGCTTTGGTCCTGGGAGACCCACCCCTAATTGGAGGACATTGAACAACACAAACTGAGGGAACAGGAACCCAAATCCTTCAACTCTCCTCTGAGTCTTCACATAAGCTCTTTCCTCTGCCTGAAACAGTCTTCTCCTATCTCTTCATCTGATAAACTTCCATGTTTCACTTCAAATGCCACTTCTAAGGGAAACTTTACCTGTCACTGAACTATTGTTTGATATCTTAATGCCCAGTTCTTCCTTTATTAGCAATCATCCTATTTTATTTTAATTTCCTATTTAATTAATGGAGAGTGTTATACATATAAAGGGAGGAAATTGTGCCCATCTTGGTAATAAAGTTACCAGATCCCCAAGGCTTAAGACAACGTCTATCATTTAGTAGGTTCCTGTCTTAGTGAGTCATTCCTTGCAAGAAAGTAACACCTATGTAGACAAGGTAAAAATCATTGAGAGAACTTACCATGTGCCAAGCACTGTTCCAAGCACTTTAACATATATTAACTCATTTAATCCTCAAAACAAAAACATGAGGTAGATACTATTGGTCCACAGTCCCTTTCCAAAAATCTCAAGCCTAGATTCCATAATCATACATATTATTATTTCTGCAGGAAAAAAATGTAAATATTCAAACCAAGAGATAGACAAAATAAATACATAACTTCTTGTCAGGTCATTGTCACCAAATGAATTCAGGTGGGTTAGATTTTGCTGCTTAGCGGTTATGAAAATTTTTTTGGTTGTGAAAACATTTTGGATCCCCATTTTATGGATGAGAAAACTTAGGCACAAAGCAGATAAGCAACTTGCCCAACATTACCCAACTCATTGTATCCAGACCTACCCTCTTAACCACATCCAGCACTGCCTCACAATTTAGTTTTTCCAGATGCCAGTAGCAAAAG